ATCATCATCATCATCATCATCATCATCATCATCATCATCATCATCATCATCATCATCATCATCATCATCATCATCATCATCATCATCATCATCATCCACTCTCACCCTGTACCTGAGTATAGGCCACAAACAACAGTTTTTCTTCTACTTCTGTCCTTGGCCAAAAATTCCACCTCAGTCCAGTATGCATCCCATCTTTCCTTTTGGTCGGAATCTAAGCAACTCGTTCATCTCTTTCTTTTTCCTCGTGGATTCCATCTTAAGGCTTGGTCGGAAATATGTAATACCAGTTTTCACAAGGCGTGTTCAATCTATGTCAATTTTCTCTTTTGACTTTTACATCCTCTTTCGGTTGCTTTATTTGCTCCCAGAACCCCCCACCATCCGACTCTCTCTTTCGGGTTGGTGGTAAAAAGATAAGTAAATGCCAGTCCGATTTCATAACTCAGTGGGCGTTTGGGGTCTCCTGGACAGAGTGACAGGGGTTATTTAATGCCTTGTTTTGAAATACATTTGGGTGGGCTGTACGAAAGAGTAATCTCTCAATAGATCAATTATTCATACGACCGCCAAGAATAAGGAACATACAATATATAGCAAGAAGTGGAAGCAAACCGCTGTCGCCGTCACCAGTATTTGTTAGACTCACGTGAATAGAAGATTGTCTATTTGTCTGAGCCACCTTTCTGTCTGTCGGATGTGTCACAACGCGGTGAAATCAGGCGCTTGTCAGTTTTTGGACGTATGGAATTATTGGTATCATCTTATTAAAGCTTGTTCACTGTTATTGCTTTTTATGATACAAGTATTCTTATACATGTAATATCTTTAACAGAAGTCGAATATATTAAATTGCGATTGGAGGAGGCGGGGTTCGCCTGCTGTCAGAGGAAAAGTTAGCGAGCAAATGGACGCCAAAGTTTAGTGACTTAGCTTGATTGTCTTTGGAAATTGCAAATTCACATATTTTGTGCTTTTGATCAACGATTGTCAGTAAAATTCGCTATGTAATGTATTTTAATGAACATGAAAGGTATAGAACCAGGAAAAGAATCAATAGAAAGATTGTTCAGCGGATGAAAAAATATCGGTTTCTTCAATTCCATTACTTCTCCCAGCACCTTATTTCTCCACGATGCCACGCAAACAGTGGGGTGGAGCACCGTGTCCATGTGAATGTTATGACAAAACAATCCTTTCCTGACGGATGAGTCACCCGCTGTCGCATAGCGCTGACCTCCCCTGGTCCAACTGGAAGTTGGCTAATGACAAGAAGTGTCTCACCGGGGAATTGGCTCACAGCTGCACCCGTTTCCTGAGCTGTCTCCTCTCCAAAGTCTCTGCTCTCTGGAAAATGAGCCACAGCATTTTCTTTTGTAACGAAAAGCCACCGCCCACCTGTACATACGCACATACGTAGGTTGACTGAACTTTTCTCTCCTTTTTTGTGCTTACTTTCGAAAAGCATCTTTGGAGATTGAAAGCAACCGAGGCAAGACAGGATAGAAGAAGAAAGCCACATCATTGGAGATTGAAGGCGAGTGAGGCAATAAAGGATAGAAGAAGAAAACTGTAGCATTGAAGACTGAAGCCAAACGGGGCAGGATGAGATAGAAGAAAACTGTAGCTGTGAAGATTGAAGGCAAACGGGACAATATGGGATAGAAGGAAACCACACCTGTGCACCCGCCAACCACCCACGTTCGCGTGTTCTGACAAAATGTCGGTGCTGGCGAACTGTCAATTGTCATGTCCAGAATAAATATGATTACAACTCTGTGGACTCGGGGTGAGACACACGCTTTTGGCATTGTGTGCATCTGTGGGTTTGTCCCTCTGTGTCTCTTTACCTCTCTCTGTCTCTCTGACTCTCTGTATCTTTGCCTCTCTCTTTCTCTCTGTTTCTCTATGTCGCCACGTCTCTCCCTGTCTCTCCGTCTCTCTCAGTTCTCTGTCTCATCTTGACCTGACAATGGACAATAATTGAAAATCTCTCTGTCCCTCTGTCTCTGTCTCTGTCTCCCTCTGTCTCTTTCTGTCTCTCAGCTTCTCTATCTGTCTGTCTCTTTCTCTCTCTCTCTCTCTCTCTCTCTCTCTCTCTCTCTCTCTTTATTGTTATTGTGTACGAGCGCGCGCCTGATTGTGTGTGTGTGCGTGTGTGTGTGTATGCGTGTGTATGTGTGTGTATCTCTGGTGTATATGTATTTAGAGAGAGAGAGAGAGAGAGAGAGAGAGAGAGACAGATAGACAGAGAGACAGACAGAGAGAGAGAGATAGATAGAGAGAGAGAGAGATAGAGAGAGAAGGGGGGAGGGAGAAAATCGACATCTGTAGTGTAGCACGTAGTCACATTGTTATCGCGAGCAGAAGACCCAAGTTTGACTCCAGAGTGGGGAATATTTTAAAAAATTGAGTACTTCAATCTTTCCACCGGGATGTTGTACCCCTCTCAACTGGTGTTGGGTGTGATAGGCAGGGTCGGAAGGAAGCCCACCTCCTATATTATCCAAATTATGACGGCTGGTGGGG